TAATATTTGACCTATTTGATCTGTTTGCAGACTGTCACCTTTACTATCCTCTATATAATAAAATATACCTTCAGCCCATTTGTTTGGAGTGGAAAGTGTCTTTTACGTCTCCGATCGAATCCCCGAACCTCTGATGACATTCACCCATCACTACTCTCCAGCTACACTGGCCTATTTTTCTTTAATAAACAAAGCTCATTCCTACCTCAAGACCTTTATGTTTGCTGTTCCTCTGCCTATAACATTTGCTCCCTACACTTTTCAAGGCCAATTCTTTCTTGTCTTTTAGGTCTCAGCTCAAGCTTTTCAGAAAGCCTTCCCTGGTCTCCTTAACTAAAGTAGCTAATCTCTGTCCCCATTCAATTACTAGTCTGTTGTTCTATATATTTCTTCATAGTATTTAGTGGTATCTTAAATGCATGTTTATTTGCTGCGTATCTCCCCTCAATAGAATACGAATCCCACCAGAGCTGGGACCTGTCCATCTTGTTTACTGCTGTATTCCAGGTGTCCAGCACAGAGTAGGCTCCCAATAATAAGTCACTGAACAAAAGTTAAAACCAACAAAACATCATTAATTATGAATATGCTGAATAGTGCCTAATAGTCTAAAACTGCTTTTGCTAATTTTATTTTGCCTGATCTGTTGTCACCAGCAGCTCTTAGATGGCTTTGTTCTAAAATTATCCCTCCTCCTACACTCTGTCTTATTTACCTCTCACTGTTCTCAGTGTCATAAAGATTCCACTTTGAAGGAATCTGATTTCTAAACAGATACATTTGCATATTAATATGAAGGATTTTTCTTCAACAACAGTGAACAAGCAGCTTCCTACAAAGGTGTATGCATGCAAGATTTAGGTGGGCTTGTTTCTTGTGCTTATGAATCTTTTCTTTCTGCTTTATAAATTCCTTTTCCTTCCTCCAAGGACAGGATTGTTTCTACTGAAACTTAAATAAACAAGTGAGAACACAGAATTTGTTTGCTCTGTATAACTGTTTTTTTTTTTTTTTTGTGAGGAAGATCAGCCCTGAGCTAATATCCGATGCCAATCTTCCTCTTTTTTTTTAAATTTTATTTATTTATTTATTTTTCCCCCAAAGCCCCAGTAGATAGTTGTATGTCATAGCTGCACATCCTTCTAGTTGCTGTATGTGGGACGTGGCCTCAGCATGGCCGGAGAGGCGGTGCGTCAGTGCGCGCCCGGGATCCGAACCCGGGCCGCCAGCAGCGGAGTGCGTGCACTTAACCGCTAAGCCACGGGGCCGGCCCCAATCTTCCTCTTTTTTTTTGTTGAGGAAGACTGGCCCTGAGCTAACATCCGTGCCCATCTTCCTCTACTTTATATGGGACGCCACCACAGCACAGCTTGAGAAGCGGTGAGTCAGTGCGTGCCCGGGATCCGAACCTGTGAACCCCAGGCCACCAAAGTGGAGTGTGCACACTTAACTGCTTGCACCACCGGGCTGGCCCCTGCATAACTCTTGATGATCCACATTGTCAAGGAAAATCTTTGGAAAGTAGTGCAAGGAAGGAAGCAGATAACTTTTTGGTGACTATGTGACTCAATGGCACCAAGTCTTTCTGATTAGTTTGTAACATCAAGTACCTACCTCGTCCAGCATCTTTCTTTCTTTAATAGACTGGGTCACCCCTAAAGAGATCACAAAAAAGAAAGGTCACACAACAGCAGAAGAATGTGCTCTTTTCATGGAGGTAGATGGTGAGGTGATTCTCGTAAGAGAAGAGGAGGAGTAACGCTGAGTAGAGGTCCTCTTTCTATAAAGCCACAGCTCCTTAACAGATTTCCTTCTGGAGACACAGTTGATGCTTAATTGAAACATTATAAAAGTGCCTGCTGCACATGGATTTCTGCCTACTATTAAATAAATCCCTAGTTCATATGCTAACATTGCTAGGAGCAGATTAGGTCTTATTAGTTATAAAAAGAAACCCATTTTCCCCAACATCACCAGCTTATCTGAACAAAGAGATATGCATTAAGGATAAAGCTAGTTTAGTGTTACCATTAAAGACTTTTTGGTAATTCAGATTCAGCATCAGCAAAAACGTTAGGTGTTAAAATGTTAGGTGTAAAAATGCAACTCTGAGGTGTTAAAGGGAGGAGGGGACAAATTATATTGTACTTACAAAAATAGCTAACTACCCATTTTCCTCCTGCAATTCCCAGAAAATATTTCAGTGTCCGTTCACACACAAACTCAGCATCTACAGAATGAGAAACATCCGAAGGATTAGTAGAAGGTGAAAACAAAATCAGGAAGTGCTGTTTTAAGAAGCAAAAGAGCCCCAGATCCTCGTGCTATTTGAGCCCAAACTGGATTGATGTTTCCAACACCCTTGGTGGTAGAATCAGAGATTGGAAGCACCCCTAATTATAACCAGCTGGTGTGGATCTTGGAAGCCTGGCAAAGGCTGATGTGAAGACCACAGGAGATGTCTGCCCTATCTTCTAGATGCCAAGGCTAGCTAAAGACGTCACTGCGTCAGTGAATTATCCACGTCAGTAGTATTGATACATGTGGACAGGGAAGATCTATTTTACTGGATGGCAACATGTGAAAGGAGAAGAAAACAGTATCATTGAAATCCTAAATCGGAAATGTCAATGTAAGTGACAAATTTCTACCCCTAGAACTTCTACCTGGGGAATCCTAACCCCCTAATTCCTAATTACCTGGAGACAGACAGGAAAACAGAGTATTTTCATAGCTTTTCTCTTTTCTACATAGGTATTTCAGAAAGCAGTAGCTGAAAAATCACTTCTGTTTATTTCTTAGTGTTTCAAAGGCCCCTTTGAAGAACTAAGCAAACTGAGGAACGAACACCTAATCTTAAACAGGAGAAATGTATTTAACTAAATCCTAAACACAGCAGGCCATCTGCCAGTAGTAACAACTGCCATTCTCCCTCACAGAATTCTTGACAAATTTTTAAAAATCTTTTTTCTTTCTTCACAATTTTTAAAGCTTTTTGTTTAACTGCTGTGAAAATTGATGTAATAATATGCTTTAAACTCAGATATTTTAGCTCATTTTTAGCTTAAAAGTAGCAAGTCTTGTATTGCCTTTGAGTTTAAAGCCTGAACTACTTTAGATTTAATATGCATTTTAAGATTTTATTTATTTATTTATTTATTTTCCTCCCAAAGCCCCAGTAGATAGTTGTATGTCATAGCTGCACATCCTTCTAGTTGCTGTACGTGGGACATGGCCTCAGCATGGCCGGAGAAGCGGTGCGTCGGTGCGAGCCCGGGATCCGAACCTAGGCCGCCAGCAGCGGAGCGCGCGCACTTAACCGCTAAGCCACGGGGCCAGCCCTTAATATGCATTTTAAAGTTTTCTTTTCACCATTCAGCAGCTTTGATCCAAACCTACAGCTTAGGTTTGGATCTAAACTTTCATGACATTCATCTCTAAAATAGTACTTAGCTCACGGTCCCTTATTCTGGCACCTGGTTCCTATAAGCAGTATCCACTAACCCTGTGGTACGATCTGTACATTGAAGAAACCTAAGATCTTAGAGGATCTAAGGCAATGTGTCCCTGTCAAGAGTCTGGACTGTATGTTCAAGCATCTGCAGCTTTGTGAACAGAAACATCCTGGAGAAGACCACTGTTATTTCCAGAGAGTCAATTTTGTTAGAAAGGTCTTAAGAGTTGAGCTACAATCTGCATCTCCTCTATGCTGCATGTATCAGCGTTTGCTTTCTGAAGCCTATGAGTGAGTCTAACTCCTCTTCCAGATGACAACTCTTCAGATATTTGAAGACAGCTGTCTTGTTCCCTTAAGTCTTCTCATTCCTTCATCTGTTCTTTAAATGACATTGCTTTGAATCCCTTTTCCTCATCCTCATCATCTACCTCTGGATAAACACTCTCTAGTTTGTCAGTGACCAGCTTAAAAACAAAGCATATTGCTCAAAACAGAGCATATCCTCCAGCCATATCACTCCAGCAGAGAATACAGTGAGGCGTCAGAATCGTCACTTCACTTGCACTGGATATTAGGCTTGTATTAATAAGGCCCAATTTCAGACAAGCTTTTTTAGCAGCCCTGAAACATTTACTCACATTTAGCTTTTAGTCAACTAAAAGCCTCTGAGATCTCCGTTATTAGGCAAGTCATAATTAAGATTTTAAAAGGGGAAGGTATAAGACAAATGAATTTTCCCCTTCTCTTTTTCCTTTTTCGTATGCTAGGCTACCTCAGAGCTGATATTAGACTTGTTTCCTGAAAAACTCTCAACCAGTCAAACTAGGTGTTTGAGTGGAGCTAGGACACCGAGCTAGGGTTTCCAACTGCCCAGATTTTGAGTGAAGACTCGCTTCAGCTCATTCCCCTCTTTGCCCTATTTGTTCCTCCAGGACTTGGGCTCTGCCTTACGAGAGAGCCCTTCACACAGTGTAGTCCAGGCAGGGTGGAAGAGAAGTGGTTCATCGTTCTGGCTCACCACTCTCCAGATCTTAACCCAAAACAAAAGGGGGGTCAGGACGTAGCAAAACTATTATTTTTCTTTCATAAGGTAATAATTGAGTGACTGTTGGAAGACTATCATCCATGCTATGCTTAACAAATACTCCCATTTCTTCGTGTAGTTTTATGCAACAGATACAGCGTAGTCCATAAAGGCTCTTGGTATACCTGTTTTCATAATGACGTGAGTAGTCTCTTCAGTAACTAGATTAGTTAAAGTGATGTGGTGTTTTCTGGCAAACTTGTGCACAAGCATCTGAAATCAAATCAAATATGACATTATAATAAATTACCTCTAGTACACAGTTTAGAGTATTAGTTACCCTAGCTTTCAGTTGCTATTTTTCTCACAAAAGATTTATATCCTTTTAATTCTAACATGACTGAAGTCTCAAAATAAATAGTAATTTAATAAAAATTATATACAAATTAGAGGAAGAAATTCTAAAATAGCCCATGCTAACAGACATGAAATTACAACCAAGGATTCAAAATAACATTAATTTTCCATTTATTTATTTATTGATTGATTGAATGATTGATTGTGAGGAAGATTAGCCCTGAGCTAACATCTGTTGCCAATCCTCCTGTTTTTGCTGAGGAAGATTGGCCCCAGGCTAACATCCGTGCCCATCTTCCTCTACTTTATATGTGGGGCGCCTGCCACAGCATGGCTTGATAAGCGGTGCATAGGTCCATGCCCAGGATCCGAAGCTCCAAACCCAGGCCACTGAAGCAGAAGGCGCGAACTTAACCACTACGCCACTGGGCCGGCTCCTAATTTTCCCTTTAATAGTAGAGATCATTTGATTCTCTAAGACAGTTTCTTTGCAGAGTGACACTCTACTATACTATAATTTAGATTTATCAGCCTATAATTTAGAAGCTGAGAGGTAACAAGCCTATACAGAAAGTTATGCTACAGATATGTGGCTTAAAAACAAGATTCAACCCTCTGATAGTTACAAAATATTCAAATCAAGACGCTTCTAAAGGTCAGTGCAAAAACTATCAATTCCTCTTAAGGAAAAAGATTGGAAGAGACTCATATTCTTCCCAAAAGAAATCTAGAGCCTTCTAGCTATTATCTATCAACCAAATAAAAATCAATAGGCAGTAAAAGAAATTAACCAGATCCATTATAGACACAGCTGACATAATTAGTAGATACTGTTTGGTAAATAACTTTATTTACCAAGGGCTATCATTTATTAGCCATCGCCACCCACGCCAGTATTTATGTGTTGCACAATATTGCACTGGAGATCAGGCCATCTTTCTTTTATGCTGCCTCACTCCATACTGCCACAGGGCACTGAAAAAGGCAGGCTGGAGAAGCTAATGACATCCTCCCCCACTTGCCACTGCCCTCTGCCAGGATCATTAGCAATTCTGAACTGATTAATTGCTGAAATCCCAGCCTTGAAACAGTGTTCAGTTAGAAAAGCAACTGCTGAAAAGATCATCTTAATATGGGCTTCAGAATTAATCATGTGTAATACAGTCAGCAACTTTCATAATAAATTTACCACACTTCAGCAAGTCTAAATAGAGCTGAAAAGTTTTCCTCTTTGCTTGTTTAAAGACAACATGTACTCAAGCCATTTAGAGTCTAATCTGCAGCTGAGAATTGCCCACAGCAAGAAAGATTAGATCATTTTAGCCTTCTCTGAAAAGCTGAACTCACAAAACAAAGGAGTAAGGAATGCTCATTTTCAATGAATAAATGGGAATTCTAGATGTGTAGGCAAATAACGAAGAGCAATATAAACAGACACAGGTATGAATTTTCAGAGCAAATAGCTGATCTGGGCACGTGGCTGTGAGATAAGAATTCTAGTATTATTAATGAGAAGTTATTCTAATGAATAACTACTATATACTACTATATATATACTATATATCTACTAGGGCAGACACAGCTTAGCTTGCTCTTTTATTATTGGGACACACCTGGTCACACAGAATGTCATGCTGAACCACTACCTATAGAGAAGTTAGGATGAGAAATGGTTCTTATCCTAGGAAGGATATATTAAGAAAGATACGTAAGAGTGACTGGGTCATCTCTCAGTGTGCAATAAATGGCACTCACTACTGAATCTATTCGATACTCTGGTGTGTTATCTTATCATGGTTTAAAGAAATATTCATTCAATTATTTTATTATGAACTGATAGCAATGGTGATTCATTACAGAAGAGGTAAATTTCCTAGGATGTCTGAAATCTACACTCAGCCCAAGTAGTATCAAGGTTTCAGTGGTCTTAATATCTTAACGGGTATTTTTACAATGTAAAATAATACTTATTTCTGCAATGAAGGCACCAAGGAGATGTCCAAAATCCTAATAGGGAGGAGGTCTTGTAGGGCAGAAATGATAGGGCAGGCTACTGAATAACTGTGTTATAAGCCAGGATAAAGACAAACACTGGAGAAATGCCACTATCTGGCAGTGTGCTTGGAACCAGTTTGGATTTAGCTAATCATGCTGAGGAGTTCACTCAGATGTGAACCAAGGTGGGGAAAAGATGCCTTTTGGGGAGCAGAGCTACACCTACTTGCTTTATTTTTGTTTTGTTTTGTTTTTTTTCGTGAGGAAGATCAGCCCTGAGCTAACGTCCGATGCCAATCCTTCTCTTTTTTGCTGAGGAAGACTGGCCCTGGGCTAACATCTCTGCCCATCTTCCTCTACTTTATACAGGACGCTGCCACAGAATGGCTTGACAAGCAGTGCGTTGGTGCGTGCCTGGGATCCAAACCTGCGAACCTGGGGTCACCGAAGCTGAGCGTGCGCGCACTTAACTGCTACGCCACCCGGCTGGCCCCTGCTACTTGCTTTTTTAGATAAAAAGAAAATTAAAATTAAAAAGCTCTTGGGACCGGCCCCATGGCGTAGTGGTTAAGTTTATGCGCTCTGCTTCGGCAGCCCGGGGTTTGCTGGTTCAGTTCCTGGGTATGGATGTACACACTGCTCATTAAGCCATGCTGTGGAGGGCATCCCACATACAAAATAGAGGAAGGGGGGCACAGATGTTAGCTCAGGGCAAATCTTCCTCAGTAAAAAAAAGAGGAAGATTAGCAACAGATGTTAGCTTAGAGACAATCTTCCTCACCCCCTCCCAAAAAAATAAAATTAAGAAATTTAAAAAAAGGGGCTGGCCTGGTGGCATAGTGGTTAAGTTTGTGCACTCCACTGCGGCGGCCCGGAGTTCGGATCCTAGCCTGTACCGACGCACCACTTGTCAAGCCATGCTGTGGTGGTGCCCCACATAAAGTGGAGGAAGATGGGCAGGGATGTTAGCCCAGGGCCAGTCTTCCTCAGCAAAAAGAGGAGGATTAGCAGATGTTAGCTCAGGGCTGATCTTCCTCACACACACACACACAAAAAAATTAAAAAAAAAAAAAGTTCTACATCACACTCAAAACTATAACCTTTTTGCCAAAATTTAATAATTATTTTCTTAAGTAAATATATACAAAATAATCCATGCTATAGCTTTATCTAGGTCCAAATGTTCAGAAATTAGTAATGGAAATTAAATTACATAGAACTGTGCTTGTTTCCTAGATTTAATCCTATAGGTCATTCATGGCTAGTATCTATTTAATACTCTTTGTGGCATGTTAATGAAGTCTCAGTCATTAGGGAGATAACATATGTACACACTCACAAATTCTTTTGGGGTCAAGCCTGATGCCACCATAGATATTCTTCTGTTGACTCTTTTTGTTGAAGACATCACTTCTGGTTTCTCCCTGCTCACACTTTCATCCTTCACGTTATACCCAACAATATTAGTAGCATGAGCAGCAGCTGGACTCTTGGCAGATTCTCCAACTTGAAATTGTGGTAATTTCAATGCAGAGGTTGAAGCTGGCATGCTGCAACCATGATCTGGCTCTGGGGCTCTGTCTTCAGAGGGAACAGACTCAGGGTCATCAGAGAAGAGGCTGATTCCAGATTCTAGGTAGGGGGTTCCCTCTGAAAGAAGTGAGGGAAGAAGTTAAAACCCCCATGACAAAGAATCTTTAATTACAATGTCTATTCTCTGCCAAGAATTAAAAAGATCAAGTTAGGTTAAGAGAAAAATGGGTACACTAATACACCTTTGGTGGAACTGCAAAGTGGCTTAACTTTTCTAAAGGATGATTTGGCATTATATTGCAAAAGCCTTGTATGTTTACACTTTTGGGCAATAATTCTAGTTTTAGAAATGTATCCTAAGGATATAAAAGTTGTCTGCAAAAGTTTAGTCATAGGAATGTTCACTGCAACACTGTTTATAACGGTAAAGTTTTGGAAACAACCTAAACGTCCAGTAATAGGATATTAAATTATGACACATCCATTCCAATGGAGTACTCTTCACCCATTACATTTAATTACAAACACTTAATTACAATATAATGGAGGGATGCACACATCCATGTTCATTGCAGCATTATTCACATAGCCAAGAGGCGAATGTCTATTAATGTCTATCAATCAAATGTCTATCAATGGATGAATGGGTAAAGAAAAATGTGGTATATAAATACAATGGTTTTTAAAAAGCTGAATTGGGGGGCCAGCCCCGTGGCTTAGCAGTTAAGTGCTGGCACTCCGCTGCTGGCGGCCTGGGTTCGGATCCCGGGCGCGCACCGACGCACCACTTCTCCGGCCATGCTGAGGCCGCGTCCCACATACAGCAACTA